CTTCTTGTCACTAGGCTTGAGCTCCCATTCTTTGGCTTTTTAAAATGGTGACCTTATATAGTATTTGTTGGTTTGTGAGCAGAGATGGAAAAATGGAAATGAGATAATAGACACTAAAAGAGGAAATAGATAATAGACACTTATTAAGTTAAAGAGAAGGCAGTATATAAGAAGGAGATGGTAAACATAATACCACTAAAGAAAAGGAACAGGGAAGAACTGGGAAAGTATGATTACATTGTGAATATTGTAATTAACATTATAAAAGAAAATGTGTTACAAATGATTGAATTAAAAATTGATGTGCTTTTATAAACTATCCCTCAAATAAAAATGAAAAAAAAAGTATGTCTGTTGTACTTTTAGAAAAATATCTGTGTAGGTTTTCCAGGTTGTAGTGATAGAAATGAAAAGAGGAGGGGAGGGGCTGAGTGCTAGAAAAAGAACAGGATAATTTTGTCCAGGAACAGAATTGGGTAATGAATGGTAGGCATTGTAGATTGCTGCTCCTTGTGGACAGACAGACAAGACTACTGCTCATTACCAAGGTCAAGGTTGAGAGATGTAGATCAGTAGGAGCTGCTCTTTTTTCCCCCCTCTAAATACCAGTGAGTGTACCCAAATGATTAATTAGAATAGGAGCGAGGGAATTTACAGTCTGTAAAAAGCAGCAACGGATTAAAAATGCACTGCTAGGAAGTAAATTCCAAAGCATAACAACCTTATATGGCAGAATAGAACAGCCTATAGGATTTCCAAGGCTATAAATCTTTAGCGAAACACTGTCTTCTCTTTCTCCAGCAGAACAGCTTGTAGGTTTGAACTGTCAGCCTTTGGACTAGCAACCAGATGCCTTAATCACACTCCTACCAGAGCTCTTTTAACAGGGGAATAGCAGACAAAAGACCAAGAAACATTATGCTGAGTGAGATAAGTCAGTCAAAAAAGGATAGATATTGTATAAGACCAGTATAACTAAAGAAAGATTATACATAGGGTAGCAGGATGAGAAAAGAGGGAGAGGAGAGTAAAAATTAACAAATAGACAACAATTATTAAGGTGGACAAAAGGAAAGGCACTATAGAAAAAGTGGGTATTGGAATTAATTTTCTAAAATAGGATGTGTAAGAATTATTACATGAAAAACTAATATGGTTTGTAAATGTTTACTCAAATCACAAAAAAGACAACAAACAAAAATCAAACATTTTAAGATAAAATCCAGAGAATGTTACCTAGGTCACCTTCTGCCACCCTCTCCCCCAGTAAACCTGAAAGCAACACCCTCAAAGCCCTTCTATTTGTAACTCACAAGTTTGTTCTCTCTGTGTTTGCTCCCATTCCTGTAGGTAACATTAATACTGAGTTTTACTCCAGAATTGACCCTGAACCCAGTGCCAGTGACAAAAAGGAAATACAACTGACAGCTAAGGAAGTAAAGGAGGATGGAGCCTCTGGGTTCAATCAGCCATCCCCACTGGACTCGCCTGGGAAAACTTTGCAGTCCAGAGGGGAGCAAATGACAGGAAAATATCTTCTAACAGAACAAGAAGGCAAGCAGCTTTAACCCAAGACCACCAGTAAGGTGATAAAGCGTCCTCCCTTCCCCCCTTTACATCTACTCCCCTGTTCAGCATGAAGAAGCCAAAGAGTCAGCATCCAGTTCCCAAATCAATAAGACAGTTGGTTTAATTACCATTGGAAAATGCTTGTCATTCCTCTGTAGCGTCTGGTCCCCACTGGACCCTCATCATTTCCTTCACCTGCTCCCCCCGCTGACCAAACTGTGCAGCTCTGCAACTGCATCCCTGCCCATCCTCACCCTTCTGCCCCTAACCCTTACCTCCTTGTACCCCCAATATGTTTTTCCCAATAAAAAAAAAGATTAAGGATAATAAAAAAAGAAGACAAAAAAAGATCATTAAACACTATTACTGATAACAAAAAAATATTTGGTAACCTTTATAATGAATTTTAAGATATTGGCTCCACATTTGAATACTTGATAATTAAATGTCATACTAACAAGTACTGAGAGCTAACTCTGTGATAAATGTTTGTTGTACACATGTCATTGAATTCTAACAACAGAGCTACACAATAGGTGTTGCTATTAGGTAGACACTGTGAATGCGCTCAGTCTCCCCTTTTGCTAAATGAGGGCGGGGTCTACCTCCAGGGCTAGCCTGTAGCTTAGGGATAATGTTGCAGAGTGCCTGGGCATAGATGACGCAAGCAAAGGAGGCTTGTATCGCTCTGCAAAGGTTGAGACAGTGCCAGCACTGTTGCAAGCAAATGTGAATGTGCATGTGTGTGTATTAGCTATTTCTCTGCTGTCAAGACTGATAGAATGTGCTACAAACAATTTGTCTCAGACAACCATTTGTAAGAGTGCAATACTTACAGATCAATAGCAAGGAAATAACAATAAAGGGGGGAAAGAGGCTACAAAAATAAGAGGACTGTGAACAATTTTAGCAGAAGTAATTTGCCAGAACTCAGTGAGAGAGAGCTGCTTTGGATAGGGACCATGGAGAAAGATGTGGCAATGTTTGGTTGAATATAGATTATTGAATTGAAATATTTTTAAATTTTTGACCTGAGATATTTTTTGTGGATGTATGTGTGCTATTGGGAAGGAGTCTATAGAGAAGAAGAGAGGAGAGGAGTACAAAATACAGGGATAGATGATGGCGAAAGAAGAAACTGGCTGGCTCAAGACAGTAGCATAAAAGAATTTTGATTTTTAAAACATGGTAATTTCTCTTAGTTTCATATTTTTTAAAAGTTATTGAATTAATTAAGCTTTAGTTAAAATGAAGAGTGACCTCTCTGTGATTAAAAACAGTTAATTCCCTAAATCTGGTGATCATTTTGAAATTTCCACATTTTGGTAGCTAGACCACCTTTGTGGGTTGGAGAAAGGAAAGGGAAGAAAGCTCCACAGTGACATCAGGGGTAGCAACTCTGCAGCGTTGAGCATCGCTGAGCCTTTCCTGTAGGTCCAGC